GCATTTCCCGAGTCAGGCCAGAGAACCAGATAATCTTTCGCTTGAAACACGATAATGCTAAACCTCATACCAGTCTGGCAACCACCGCGCACATTGCAAAGTTTGGCTGGACTGTCCTACCACATCCACCTTATAGCCCCGATTCAGCACCTTCAGACTTCCATCTGTGAAAGATGGACTATGTGGGCAACATTTTCCAGACAATGATGCTGTCATTGCAGGTGTAGGAAACTGGCTAGCCTCTGCTCGCACAGACTTTTACGGACGCGGCATACAGGCTCTTGTTCATTGCTGGCAAAAGTGCATAACGAATGATGATGATTATGTGGAAAAATAACTGTAAGTAGGTGCAATCTTGCTCTATTTACCTGCATCATTATGCTTTCTGTATCTGCTGTAGTTTTCATTAAAAAAATAGGAGGCATTATATACGGAACGCTCCACGTATTTGGACACTGACTTTATAAAATTCCTCTTGGATAGGAACTTTATGTAACCTAGTGAATAAATACATCAACTTTAACTAAAAAAAGTATTTCTGACATCACTCCCCCACCCTATATTGGTATTTGCTAGTTCATTTAGTAACTTCCAAACATTTGTGGACGATGAGTTTTCATATGATGTGAAAAAGAGATTTGTCTGCAATAAATGAATACCAAATCAAATGTGCATACATACAGAAGACTGAATTTCAGTATACCATTCCACTCTTGTTCAGTGTAAATGACAAAAAACATGTCAGAGCCAGGTTACCAGTGCCCAGTTGGCGCTGATATTATAGTGAATGAATGCATTTCTGTTTTGCAGAAGTATGATTCTTGAGTATTACTGAAATTAAATACTTTTACAATCTACATCCACTGAAATAAAATATGAGAACACCATTGAAATCAACTTTCTAGGGCTACTCCTGACAAAGTATTCCAAATGAAAGATATGCAGAAACATTCATTCCATTAATTCAGAATATATTGTATCTGAAGAAAGAAACTATAATACATCATAACAGGTTTTACGGTTTGGAATTTGCAGATTCATTCTGGCTCCATTCTGTTTTTGATTATACAATCTTTGTGTCTTCCAGTATTTCTATTTCTAATGGGACAGTACTATCCGATTTGTTTACATATTCCGCATTGTCCCTTCTTTGAAATACTGGAACTTTATTATTTAAATTGATCATATTTAATTCTTATTGACTGTGTGTGTTAAGTTTATGTCTCTGGGTGTACTCTGCAAAGGAGTTTCATATCTGTTGCATGCATTATATCAAGATTTCTTCTCACCATCTGTGCATCATTTCTGCACAGGGGTGTTGGCACTGTCATTGGATTTACATAAATTTATTTGTAGCTCTGGTCTTTAATCCTTTCTTGCAGTACTTAAGTTCATGGGGTCATGGTGGTCATTTGTGATCACAGCAATGCATTTTAAGGGTCCTTAGAAGGTGCAGAAATTTCTTGATTAGCAGACACACTATTAGCTTCTCAAAGACTATGTTCTGTGGAGGTAGTTGATGATTGCTGGACTACTACTACTACTACTACCACCACTATTATTATTATTATTGTTGTTGTTGTTGTTGTATTATTTCACTTTTAGCTGTCATCTCCAAGTAACAGCATACTAACAAGTGTCAAAAGTAGCACATGTTCTTCTGATTCCCACTGTCTAACATGTTCATTTATACACATACAAAATGAAATAAATACACACAGGATAAAACAGAGATGCTGCAACTTATCTATTTTTTTTTTAATGCTAGAGGGGTGGGACTAAGTCCCTTGTACTGCGGCCACTTCTGGCCTATTGTACCAGCCCCAGATGACAGGTGAGGGTAATTGTGGAGCAATGGGTGGAAAGAAGATTGGAAGGGGAAACTGAAGTACTCAGAGAAAATCCGCCCCAGTGCCACTTTGTCCACCACAAATCCCACTTGAACAGACCCGGGATCAAACCCAGGCTACCGCAGTGGGAAGCCAGCGACTAACCGCTTGAGCTATGGCGTGGCTTGCGACTTATCTAACTTACCCTTTCCGAGGTTGGCTACATACATGTGTTTATACACATGCTTTGAACATTTGTATTAAATGGAAGGGTACGCTTCTTTTTAAAGATACTCCGTACTTACTATGGGGTGCTTCATGAAACACCTTCATACAACCAATAAATATTACACAAGTATTGTTATGAAATTCTCATATTTTTCCTTAACAAGCTTCAAGGCATAAACATTGTCTACACATGAACTTCCTTTTATAAAACCCAACTGGCCTTCTAACAGTACTGTAAAATAAATGTGAAATACATTTTATATGCTGTTGTCAGCAAGCTGATTCCCTTATCATTTTCATAATTACTCCACTTCCTCCTCTAATTGTCTTTAGTGTATACATCTATTAGAAACTGTGACTGACATCTGCAAAAGAAATCTGCTAGTGTGAAAACCACAGACCCTATTTCTTTAACCATCAAAGTCCACCTTAGCCCATCACTACTAAATCAATAAAGTTAGTTCTTCCCAGAACTTCTTGTAATGTGATCCTCCCATCTATGCTTACTTACTTACTTACTTACTTACTCATGGAGCTGAGCCCTTCTTGAGGAGCTGCCAATTCTGCAGCTACTCAAGAATTTCCCAGCATTTTATTGAACCCGAAGGTTCATCACCGTGTTCACAAGAGCCCTCCACTGGTTCCTATCCTGAGCCAGATCTATCCAATCCATACCATCCTATCTCTCTAAGATCCATTCTAATATTGTCCACCCACCTACACCTTGGTCTTCCTTGTGATCTCTTTCCTTCTGGCTTTCCCACCAATATTCTATATGCATTCCTCGCCTCCCCCATTCGTGCTACATGACCTGCCCAACTCATCCTCCTTGACTTGATCATTCTAATTATACTTGGAGAAGAGTACAAGTTATGAAGCTCCTCATTATGCAGTTTTCTCCAACCTCCCGTGACTTCATCTCTCTTTGGTCCAAATATTCTTCTCAACACCCTCAGTCTATGTTCCTCCCTTAATGTCAGAGACCAAGTTTCACACCCATACAGAACCGCAGGGAAAATTGTAGTTTTGTATATTCTAATTTTTATGTTTTTGGACAACAGAAGAGAAGACAAAAGGTTCTGGACTGAATGGTAGCAAGCATTACCCAAGTTCAATCGCCTCTTAATTTCCTCCTGAATCAGGTTTTGATCTGTTATCGTTGTTCCCAAATATCTGAACTGTGCCACATTTTCAAAACATCTGTTTCCTATCTTTAGGTCATGATTTTGCCCTGCACTTCAAAACTAACCAACCATGCCATATATACATGCTTTACACACATGATAATTTCATTCTGGGGATTTCGCTTGTATGACATATGTCTGCAAAAATGACTTTGTTTTGTCATATGTTAAGAGGAATACATTCCTAAGGAACGTTCAATCTGATAAATGCTCTAATTGGTGAAAATATTTTTTTTTGCCAATGTCAAATAACAAATGGATGCAGAAATGCATCTGAGACAACTTCCCATTGCAGCATCAGATCCATTCAAGCCCATCTTCAGAAAGAAACTGATTACATTCAGAACTATGATACAGATGCAAATATCTCTCAACATACAATCCCATGTACATAGTTGATGTAATGACACCTCTGTCACATTTATTGTAAAACATCACGGAGAATGTACATGACAATGAGAAAAAGTAAGGGATCATAACATCAACATAGTTAATTCATTATGAGGGAGAGTCAGTAAATAGGTCACAAATGAATATAAATGTAAGACATTTAATATTCGAACCTGGAAAAATCTTTTCTTTCTTGACATATCCTCCACCAACAATGATACACTTGTCCCATCGCCTTACCAGTATGTCAAAAGCCACAGCAATAGAAGTCTTTCCGCTGCTGTCTCAGCCACCTCCACACCTGGTCAGGCATCATCTGTGACTTTTGAACGTCCCTGAGAGAATTACTCAACCCAGATGTGAACCACTTTACGTGACAAACACTTCCCGCCATAAACAGGAAACATTTCATTATGAACATCCTTTACACTGAGTCCATTTGCCCATAAAAAACGCACAACAAAATGTTGCTCTTTGGTATTACACCCCTCCAGCAGAGCTGCCATTTTGACCACAGAAACCAGCCTCTGACCATGTGCAAGCACATCTGCTACCTAGACTGTGCTGTTACCTAGTGATATACATCAAAAACCTATTACATTCACTACGGCTGTTTTACTTCAATCTGTGACCTGCTTACTGACTCTCCCTCATACCTTTAGTTAAAATCTTGCTGAAAGCCCAGTAGTACCAGAGCTTTCTAAAATCCTCTGTTCCCAGACAATATGGGCCAAAGAGGCTCAAAGCACTGTAAACTATAGATTCTGCTATAATTTGTAGGTACTGCATTTAATCATGTACATTACTGTCTTTTACTTCATATCTTTTATCTGAAACTCAAAGAGGAGGAAAATATACCAGCATCTAGCAGTATAAAAATTATGGTATCAAGGTAAATATAAAGCTATCCTTGTAACAGGCTGTGGAGGCCCACACGGTTGTGAGATGTAGAGGGTCCCACATTTTCTAGACAACTGGCTCAGAGATCGTGAGGCTGTCAGCCTTATGAGCCAGCTGCCCTTTACCTTGAGGAAGATTCCTGGTACTCATTTCTGTCAGAGGAAGGTTGACCCCATGGCCATAGTGCAGCTGGAAGGATTAGGTCAAATGAAAACTCCAATGACCTCATTAGGAACTGAACTTGTGACCTTCCAGCTTGTAACATAGTGCCTCAACCAACTATGCTACTGTCCCAAAGATATTTTACAAAGTTACATATATACTTATGATGCCATGAAGTAATTTTAATTTGTAAACAATTCTGTCAATTTTAAAAGCCATAAGAAGAGTGGGTGACCAAACTGCCAGTTGGTGTCACATTACTCCATTCTCCACAGGAATGTAGTGTAGCTTACATCTGTTGGTATTATTATGAATGAGACTGTTTTCATCTATGTGTCGGGAATATAAAGCCACAAAAAGTGTGCTGTAAAACAAATGTTTACTTTCCCCCTAAAGTAGGGAAGAGGAAATAATTATGAAATGGGAAATTTGTGAGGGTAAATACAGTATTACAAATACTCACATACAGTTGTACAGAACAATCAACCTAAGACTAGTAACCAAAATCAGAAATTACATTCTTCAAAGAGGAAAATGTTACAAACAGTGAATATAATTTGGGGTCAAGACTGTTTTCTAACTTTTGTCATGAAAAATATAGCTGCATCTTTCAATCAAGTAAGCACATCACATCCTTTTTCTAAAGAATCTCCTAATACTGTTTTCATGATGGCAACGTCTATGACAACTTTTTCTTAAAAACTCTTGCCTAATCCATGTCTAATTTGGGTAAATGCAAACCCCCTGTGTATAATTTTGATTCCTTCATTTTGTTCAGAGACATAATAAGATCGTCCATTGTGATTGGTCGCAATGCATCATGGAATTCTTCTGACTCATCTATTACAGTTACTGCTGATGACTTACTTGTTCCAGCACCACCTCTGAAGATAAGAAACCACAAAAATAAAAATGTCTGTTCATGCTAGTAAATGCAAACAAAAATAAATTGTACACAGTAGTACTCTGTCTCAAAGATAAGATTGAGGTACTTTCATCATAAGTCAATTCCAAAACAAAACATTCTAATATAGTATTTCATTATGCCTAATCTGACAAAATAACATTTCAATTACTGGCATGTGTGCGGTTTAAGACATTGTCAATATCAATAATGCTCAATGATGAACAGGAAACAATTTGGAAGGAAGCAGTTGCATCCTGATGAAGGTACAAGCCTGCCATTTGCCTGGAACAAATGAAGAAAATCCACAAAAAAAAAAAAGAGAGAGAGAGAGAGAGAAATTCAGAATAGGCAGTTACCTAACCAGGATTCGAACTAAGCATCTCCTGAATGAAAATGTACAGCATTATCATTATATCAACCTGCTCAGTTCCATTACTGGCATTTGGTCAAGCATTTGAATACAGAGATCAATGAAAAACATAATAATATATCATATATAAACTTACAACTGACTTCCAAAGAAACAAATAAACTAGGCAGCACTCAAATTAGCAAACACTGATCTCTGTTTCTTCAAAAATGTATTTCAAATATATGCATAGAATAAGTGTCAGAATGTAAAATCCTCTGGAACACTGCCAGGCACCAAATAAGTGTGAACACCACTGAAGTCATCACACAACTAAGATGGGTTATGACGCCCCATGCTCCTTACAATCCACCTCACTCTCTCAGATAATCTGTTCTCAGTAGAACGGAATGTTGGGGCCTTGTTACAAGGATGATGATAAAATGAAGAACATATGATTGAAGACAGTCTTCTATAGAGCAGGAGTATATGCTCTTGTTCAGCACTTAAAGAAAATTACTGAGAAAGAAATGGGCAATACTGAAAAATAAGTCTTCAACAGGATTGTGGCTACACAGGATGCAATTTCCATGAGTGTGTCCTGTAAATTGTATGGAGAAAGGAGAAAGAGGAGGAATTTTTTCTGATTGGTATTTGTACTTTCCAACACACAATAAAATGTAGCATATAAAATTTACAGGATTTCTTATTATGTTCCACCCATGAAAGATAACTGTTATGATACATATTTTTTTAGATTATTTACAGTTAAAATTATAAATTTAAAAATTTGTTCCCAAGGTAATTTCAATGACATGACATGTCCTTCCTGCTGGGAAATTTATACATGTTTCAGCAGGGCTATATACAATCTATGGTTTAAGGAAGTTTTTCCTTCATTAAGTCAATAAAAAATCAATAAAGAAATCTTATGATTAAATAAACCCTAAGCCATCAGTAGATCCTCCCAGTAACATATGATATAATAGTGATACCTGCATACAGATTCACTTACCTTACACCAGACTCAACTTTCATGTAATCTCGAACCCTATACACTGATGCATTGCGGCACATTTCCCTGAGATCTGATCCAGAAAAATTTTCTGCCATTTTTGCTATCCTGTGAAGGTCCACATCTTCAGCAGTAGGCTCATTTTCAAGGATAAGACGCAGAATCTGTCGTCTTTGTGTCACATTCTAGGCCAGAGTACAATATATAACGCATCAAAAACTGTTCAAGAGGATCCATTCAGCAAACTATACACAATCATTTTAAGCATATTTAATTTATGGCTGCAATTTAAATGAAACACATGTTTTGCTACAAATGCTTATGCTCTGATATGAACAATATAACTGATAGTATTTTGAAGTTCACTGAGCCTCTACTGAAACAGGGGTGAACTGTGGGAATAGAAAATGTATACGACTCAGAAGCTTCAACAAAAATATTAGAAGTTATTCATAGAGCAGACTGTGTCAGTGCTTGGAAACAAAACAGAAAAAATATTCCAAACAGTGTGAAAGATAATATAAACACAGGTGAACTTAATGGCACAGTATTCACAATCTGTAACAGGTCAGTAAACAGCCCACCCCCCCCTCCCGGGGTGACATTACCAAGAGATGCCGCGGTTGCTATAGAGCAGTAAACAACTCTTGACAGTGTTGCTAGGCAATCGGTAAACACGTCGGTACTAAATAGCGGTACCTATTACATAACTGTTTTCTGTGTTGTCCGTACCGAGGCTAAATAAGGAGCAGCGAACACTATTCAGGAGTAGTTAGTTAGTAGTGAGTGATTAGTTATTGAGTAGTGAGTATTGAGCCAGTTACTAGAGAAAGAGTAACCAGTCAATTGCTGTCTATCTTTCGCCGGAGTATTTGTGATACTGCCAATGGCAGTAATGTTGAGATTGTAAATTGTGTGATTGTAAGAGCGAGTGGAATAAATTCGCTATATCAAAGAAGGCATGAAGTTATTTGTTGCATGACATATACCCAACATGTGACAATATATATTGGAAGGCTTGATTTGAGTGCAGTAGAAACACTTGAACAGGTGACAGAAGATATTACGGTACTAAAACTATGATTATATACAGACAATACAGGGAATTAAATGAGCTATCATCAAGTGTGCAAATGGTGGAAGGTTTGTTTGCTGTCAAACAAAGTGTCAAGTCCAAACTAAAAACTCATAAGAAAATATAGTAACATATCTCACTAGAACGTATTTCTTTAAGAGGAACCAAATCAGCTAACAAGAAATCTAGACTAATATGCCATGTGTACAAAATGTGGAAAACAGAGGGAAACAGTGTACTGATGTGTGAGATGTGATGTACTGCACTCTGTTTTGAAGATGACCACAATGAATTTAACAAAAATGGTACTTACTTGGACAAGCCAACCTAATTTCATAATCATAAATTACATACACTTTTCCAAATAATCTTAAAAATTCAAAAGTAAATCCAACAATTAGGCTAGAATGGAGCCATATAAATGTCAACTGTCATTGTAGTTTTTTTTTTAATTCACTTAGTGGGGGGTGGAGTCCAACTGGGTACACTTGGCACGGCAGCCACTGATTGGCCTACTGTAGCTGCCCCGGGTGATTATGATGATGGAGAATTTGGAATTGGCAGGGGAAACCAAAGTACTTGGAGAAGAACTACCCCAGTGCCACTTTGTCCACCACAAATGCCAGTTGACCAGACCCGGGATTGAACCCGGGCCGCCACAGCAGGAAGCCAGTGACTAACCGCTTGAGCTATGGCACGGCCTCATTGTAGAGTTTGTAGATTTGGTAATCTGATCATACACACATTACAATCTTTAGTTTATCCAAAATTTGCTATTCAAAAGACACTCACCGGCAAACCTACGTGAAAAGTAGCTGGCATCCTCCGAAGAATTGCTCTGTCAAGGTCCTGAGGTCTGTTTGTAGCTCCCATCACAATGACTGTACAGTTAGGATCAGTGATAAGGCCATCCCACAATGACATAAACTGTGCCTTCATCATGGCTGTTGCCTCATGATCATGTGAGTTCCGATTTCTCAAGAACGAATCTGCAAAACACATTAAACATGAAAACTGATTTTCTTGATTACTGTAATATGCATAATACTCAGAATGTCACATGTCAGAAACACTATACACTATACTGCAGTGCCCGTCCTTTAACTTTTATGTACTCAATGTCACTATAAATGCTTTCATATGATGAGATTCTGTTATGGTCCCTCCAACCAGAAAATATTAAAGACATTCCTTATAAACATATATTAACTTACCTATCTCATCAATAAAGATAATGCATGGCTGCAACTTCACGGCAAGTGTGAAAACAGCAGCTGCCAATTTTTGACTTTCTCCGTACCATTTGTCAGTGAGGATGGATACATCTAGGTTAATAAATCGTGTACGTGCTTCGCTAGCTGTCGCTTTGGCTATCATAGTTTTCCCACAACCTGGAGGTCCATGCAGTAGAACACCTACCAAACAGACAAATTCTTTACCTCTGGCATCATACATTTTGCAACAAAAATATGCCACATTAATACAGAATGTTCTTAATTAGTTACAAAACAGCTCAACCATCAAATATACTGAAACAGAGAAGGTATACTGACTTTTTTTTTGCTGAAAATTAGTTACATCAAGCAAACATAACTCACCGTTGTTATGCCCCAAACNATTCCCCCCCCTGCGCCGCTAGGGCATTACAACCGTGACTGGAATTATTGGTGAGGAAGAACATTTATTAAATGTACCTGTATGTGGAATATATTTATGTTAGCAGATTATGAATTGCATATCCACTGAGAAATCTTGTTAATAAACATATGNCTGACGAAACATACACGACGAACCACGGCAACGGGTTAATAAACAAATTAAAGCAGAAGTGAAAATTAAGAATTACATGGCAATTAGTTCAAATGAAACAAAGTTATTTTTGACAATGACATACAGCTTCTCATTTATCACAAATTTAAATTCTACAATGTAAATATATAACCATCATTAATATAAACCAAAATTAGTCACAGCTTATTTGTAAAACTTCACAGGTGGTGGTTGAATATTATTGTCTCCTGGGATGTGATGCTGGGTAGTCAAGTACATTATTACTGCACAGAATTACTGGGTGTTTGGACTTCTTCCCTCGTCCAGAATTCTGGGAAATAGAAAACACGACATTTGGGAAACTGGATCTGTTTCCATCTTCAGGCGAGGAAGGATGACACTTACTCGGTTGGGCCCCTTTGAAAGAGCTAATCTCAGTCACTGGACTGATCAATCACTGACAGAGATTAGCTCTTTCTAAGGGGCCCAACTGAGTATGTGCCTTCCTTCCTCGCCTGAAGACAAAAATAGATCCAGTTTCCAAAACACAGTGTTTTCTATTTTCCAGAATTCCAGATGGAAAAAGTCCAAAAACCCAGTAATTCTGTGTGTTATCCACCATCACCAGAACCCTTTAGAATCCAGATTGTTTCTGATGTTGTGGAGGCATATGCTGCTTTTTTACCCTGAACACAGATGCAGTACATTCCTCTGATATGTTGCTAAAGATCAGGGCCCGAATTTTTATGACCTAAAAATGTTCTACAAATGACCAAAAAAATCCAGAAAAATGACTTATAAAATGACCAAAAAATTCAGAAAAATTATCTATAAGTTAAAAACGACCTAGAAATGTATCATGCCATGGAAAATCTACTCACTGTTTTAAAATGTATTTTTAATCTTTATTAACATTGTGAACTCAATGTTACTCTTTTAAGTTTGTCCTCATTTTTATGTTGAAAATTAAGCAATATACGATTGAATTTGAAGCTAAATGTTTTAATACGATTCTTTCTACTGTGTTGGAACTCTTATCAAATGTATATATACGGTATATATTCCAATATTTAAGTGCCATCTCATTCAGAGGTGCAATAGATGATGGTCAACATGCGGAGATTCTCCTTTCCACACCTGCAGACACAATGGGAGCATACTTGAAGTATATCAAATCACTACCAGTAAGATCTTCTTCAATACTGAAAGTGCTGAAGGACTCTACTGTCAGAATTCAAGAAATGATGCATAATGTTCATAACCTGAGTTTTTAACTAGAACATTTTTCATTTTTCTTGACACCATTTTACCAATGTCCCCCGAAACTTTCTTCAAATCACTGACTATTTTTTTACACTAGAGCAAGCTAATCTTCTAGCATTGCTCCTTTCTCCTACAAGCATTTGAGTCCTTCCATCAAGGAACTGAAATTTGCCTTTATGGAGGCCAGCTGTCCTTCCATTTCGCTGCATGAGAACTGTTCCTGAGCAGCTTCAATAGCCCTCGCATCCTCCGTCTTCATTGAATCTACAATGGTTTTCACTACCCGAAAATAATCACAATAGTAAATTGTAGCATCAATCCACATTTCCCACTTTGTGATGATGGGTTCCGGGGGCAGTGGAACACCAGGAGCCACAGACTTAAACTGCATTTTACAAGCTGGAGCCTTGACGAAAATCTTCGTCTACAACACGATAGCATCCACTTGAGAAAAATCTTGATTTCACTTCCTGTCACTCTATGCATTGCATATGCTAGGCAAGTAACATGCACCAATTTCGTACAAAACGACTTTATTGACTTGCCTGCTTTTAAAATATATGGGGTCGCATTGGTCAAAAAAAGCAAGACGACGTTCAGTCATATACCCTCTAGCCACAGTAGAAACATCGACCTGTCAAAGAGTTTACAAACTTGGAAAGATTAATGGATTCTAGCACCTCACTCGTAAGCAGAGACACTTCAACTGATCCATCAATTTCCAAGGTTCCAATGATGATGTTTGCCACGTAGTGAGCCTCCGTATTGCAGGTCTCCTAAATAGAAATGAAAATCTTCTTCCCATGCACTTTATTCCTAATCATTTCCAGGATATTGTTATAGCACTTGGAGAGGTAGTTTTTCCTGAGGGTGGATTCATATGGGATAGAATGACCACAATTCACTTCCAGAAAGTCTTTCAGTTTTTCATTCTTCAGAGCCCAAAATGGAACGTTTGCGGACACAAGAGCATCACGCAGATCTGTGAAAAAAATTCGATGACTTATTTCCACCTTCAGATGAACACTGTTGCAGTAATATTTGTACAGATTTCTTTTTGTTCAAAATTTGCTTGTTGTGGCCGATATTATGTTGTTGTACCATGAAACATTTTCTGGCACTAATTTTGTGTCACACATCTTACAGTATAAAATGTTACCATCAGTTGAAAATATATCATCTCCAAATTCAGCTACAATCTGCTTTAAATGAAATGATTTAGATGGCTTTGCTTAGGCATCATGATAAAATGAATCAGTCTAGTGCAACACAGAACTTAACTTTTCACACTGAGAACCTTTCATCAACTGTATCTTTGTCTGTATGGTCAAGGGCGAGAAACTACGGAGTTTTATTGAGCAACAATATGTCATAAGAAGCGAGGGATTACAACTACAAATACAAGGGTAAGTCAATAAGTAAGTTACAAATGGATATTGAACTTAAACAAATGCGAGTACTGATTTGAAATATGCTTTTATTTCTCAACATAATCTCCCTGTACACTGAGGCATTGGTCCCATCGTTTCACAAGCACCTGAAAACCAGCAGCATAAAATTCTTTGGACTGCTGTCGGAACCAGGTGGCGACTTCCTTTTCTACAGCTTCATCATCAGGAAAATGTTCAGCTGAAAGATGATGTTTAAAAGGGCCAAACAAATGGAAGTCACTTGGAGCAAGACTCATCACCTGTGGCAATTCGGGTTAGCATGTTGTGTCCTTCATCGTGGTAGCGATTGAGATGCTGTAATGCCAGACTCATTCTTTGCATTCTTTGCACCCATCATGCACAGACTTTGTGAAAACCTAACCCGTCATGCGACTTCCATTTGTTCGGCCCTCTTAAACATCTTCTTTCAGCTGCACATTTTCCCGATGATGAAGCTGTAGAAAAGAAAGACACCGCCTGGTTCCGATAGCAACCCAAAGAATTTTATGCTGTTGGTTTTCAGGGACTTGTGAAATGATGGGACAAGTGCCTCAATATACAGGGAGATTATGTTGAGAAATAAAAGCATTTTTCAAATCACTACCTTTATTTGTTCATGTTCTACATCCATTTGTAACTTACTTATTCACTTACCTACGGATTTGTAACTAAGCAATTCCTTTGCACAGAACTTAGAAAGGGCCACAGTGTGAGTGACCACTGTCATACCTGTAACCGCACCATGCAGGAACCTCAGCAATGCTGTTGATTTACATTCTTAATTACAATGTACTACATGTAAATGAACTGTATTACTGTTAACACAAGATGATACAACTGCCCCCGGCACTAGCAGATGCCAAGGATGACATCTCGTCTTTCTGAGGGACAAGCAAGCTGCAGGTCACTTGAAAACCCAGAACGGAGCAGGAAGTATCCTGCTGTGTTTTCTGGGAATTTCAATGCTTAACTTCGGCGGTGCGAGTCTTTGAAAATTTGAGACTTGACAGATACGAGTTGCAATAATTTTCGGAGGGGTGTACTGAGCGATCGTTAGTGTACCTTAATTTATTTGACAGCTGTCAGAAGGACCATCTCATACTTAGGCCCAAATTTACATGGATCTTGTTAGGGATTGGCGGAATGTAAATGAGAGAAACACCCAAATTTTAGGTTCAGCCAATCAGCAAAATTTCAGAGGAGAGGAAACAGGACGTTCCTGCTTTCCATCAGGACTTCTGCCTCTCCAGAGCAGTCAGTCATTTAAAGTGAGTAACTGGAGTCAGTCGCAAAAAGGGAATAACAGGAGTCAGTCATCAAAAGAGAGTAACAGGAGTGAGTCGTCTAAAGTGAGTAACAGGAGTGAGTCGTCAAAAGGTAGTAACAGGAGTGAGTCTTCTAAAGTGAGTAACTTGTGTCAGTCGCAACAAGTGAATAACAGGAGTGAGTCGCAGAAGGGAGTAACTGGAGTCAGTCATTTAAAGTGAGTAACAGGAGTGACCACCCGGAAGTTAAATCGGTGTTGGCCGAGTCCAGTACACAGATTCAAAGGGCTACAGCCTTGTAATATGTAATTCTAGTTCACGTCTATAATAAAGAGCAACAGTGCTGGGGAAGTGTCAGTTTTAAGTGTTCTCTATCTCCTTGTGTGAGCAAGGCCTAGAAGTCACCCTGAGACAGAATCTCGTCCTACCGTCTGAGCAGACGGAACCCCCAATGCCCACCTATCCATATCCCCCACCTTTGTTTCCCCATTCTAAATTCGTGGATTTCACCCAAGTCCACTGGCGCCCATATAAATTCAAGTTCAGAGTAATCCCACACCCTACCCTGAACCAGACAGCAACAAGGTATTTGTGGTGCAGCTGCAGGCTGCCTTTGTAGAGGCAGGAGAAAGAGAACGAACACTTTACTTGCATAGTATTCACAGTTCTGAAAACATATGAAGAAAAATTCCCTAAAATGGCTAAAATGACAAAATAATACCCTTAAAAGTCCTAAAATTTACCAAAAAAAATATTCCAAAACCGAAAAAATGGCAAAAATGGCCTATAAAAGTTAAATTTCTGCAACCAGAAGCTCATCCCCAGGATTTATATATTTACAGGCACTGAATAGGAAACAAGAAAAAAAGTTAACACGTCATTGAAATCTGGGCCCTGGTAATGATTTACCAGACTACATGACATCATATCCTAGGAAACAGCAGTCTTCAAAGGTACTGCTATGAGTACCTGAAATCTCACTTACAAGACATGGTTTTATAGGCATATTTCTGAACAACAACAATAACAACAATACCCTTCGGTGGCTGGGTGAGTTGTGAATCAGCAAATAATTCCTTCTTCTGAATTGGTAAGATAACCGTCTCCCTCAACTCCTCAATAACATCTTCGAGGCCAGCAATATCTGCCCATGATACAGGTATTGCAGTTGGATCTACCAAATGGCCAGCGATCATCATCTCATATTCTGTTAACTACAACACATTAATGTCCATCATATACTTATTACAAATACAATATAAACATAAACCACAATATTTCTAAAAATTAAATAAACCAGAGAAACTTATGCAGTTCAGCACAATCAAATGACAATTAAATGTCACACAGTTTCTTAAGACTGTACATGTAAAAGTATAAAAGTTCAAATTCTGATCTTATGGTTGTGACACCATTTAGTCCTGCATGCTGATCCTGCATTCTGGAGGGACAAGCTGATAATCTTTAGGACTGCAGGACTTCAAACTTAAAGATGGATGCAACTTGTTCTTCTGAAATGTCGGCATGTGCCTACAAGAATACATGATGATACAACCCAGAAGATCAGAATATGAACAGCTACTGCTGTGAAACCTTCAACATTTATATAAATACACTAATAATACAAACCTCTACATTATAATTCTTAGAACCAATTCCAAGCCGTCTTAACTTCTCATCTGCCTGAAACAATGGACAATGTTTCTGTACATTAATAACACGTTCACTGTTAATAATTTGCTCTGCCTATCATCCCCACAATGAGCTAAGAAAAGGAAGTATTTCCATCTTTCTTACATTGCTGAAATTACAGTGCATATCAAGTGATGTCACAAGCAATATTACATGGAAATATTGTATTCAACTTTGTGCTATCTTACAACTAAAAATAGTTTCCTTTTTGTTACTGTTAATCTAGAGAACAGAAGCACATTCTGACAGATTTCAGTCTTGTCTATCATGAAGTCCCCCCACCTCCCCCATTATCAAATATCATAGGTACAGATGTGAAATATCATACATTGTGGTGGACTAGTTAGCATTCCTGCTTTGACAGAGGTGTTTGTTTAAGATCTGTGGTGGACAGCCAGCAACCATGACAAGCCTTTCTTGGTTTTCCTCAGTCCCTCACAGCAAATTTTAGGACATTACATTTCGTGCAGCAAAACCTTGTTATGTATAGTTTGCAGTTCTAATAATTATCCAAAAAACTGGCCACAAACTAAACTAAACACATCACAATATTATTGTTCTTTGCTCTATTTCTTTCACTGAAGTTATTTCATTCTCTCTTCATTTTGTATACACAACTACAAAATAGGTTAATGGCACTGCAGAGTGGATAGCATAATATCTTAACCTGCTCCTTAGCCATCTGCTGCTGCTGTCGCCACCACTATTTTGATTTCCTAAATCTTCTCTCTCTCTCCTTCCTTCCTTCCCTCCCTGTGTGTGTGTGTGTGTAGTTCCTACCACCCACTCCCAGAATATGACAAGGATCACTTTGTACCACAACCTCATCATTATTTTTCTCAATCAGATGTATAACAAGGGCCAAAGCACCATCACATAAACAATGAATGTCAAAGACTTGTGGCTAGCATTCATATTCAGGATGTCCTGGGTTGAAACTTCAGTCCTTCCAGTGCCAGGACAGTACCTCTAAGTAAGCCATGACCGCCCTCTTCTTTTTCTTTTATTGTAGATTGCTGAAAGACATTTTCAGTACAAAGACTATACAGACTCAGAAGGCAGGGTGGCAGATGAATGATGATTAACTGAAAAGGATTTGAAAGGAACTGGTCATGCATTAATCAAGGAATTATCTTGCCAGTTGCCTGCAAGACACTGGGGAAAACAATGAAAAAGCTCAGTAATGACTGCTAGTATCCTGGCCAAGATTTGAACCATGCACCACCCAAATGTGTTGCTATACAGTCTGAGATACTGAGAGCTCAAAAAACAAATAAACAATTATATCAAGGAATAACAAGGCAATCTTATAGTTCTGACAATTCATTAAATTGATATATACAAACTTCATCCTGGTCACAGAATAGTTATTAATTTGTAACCTGACACTGACACAAAATATTTCCTGCTGTTTTGCATACTCAAACAAGGGAAGTGAAATGAAATACTTATTGTTCAAGAACTGAAACATTTGTGTACAATTTATTCTGCTCTCTACAGAAGATATTAGATATTACAAACTTTCATAGCTGTTGTCCCTAGCCACGTGTAACCTGGTAAAATTATGTATTTCTATAAATTACAATGTAACTTGGATAATGCATGTGACAATACTTATAGCAAACTTAATGCATTACATACATAAAGGATATTTTCAACAATTCACAATGTGAAACATCTTCAAGTTCTCTCACAGTTCACCTATACTTCTCATATGCTTTATTTCTTGTACAATACTAACAATTTTGAATGGCCCACCTACTTTCCTATTCAGTAGGTACTGGGAGTTTTCTGGAAATGAAATCATCTGAATGTGAAGCAGACCACTAGTTCTTCTAGTGGTAAGATCCTGACTACCGTCATCAAATAGGCCACATGCCATTACTTTTAAATGCTGGAGTTGCTCCATTTTGCAGGTGACTAGGGTCAAAATGTCAACCCAGAGACTTGCTATCCTGATTCATGTTTCTTGTCATCCTCAGACCCACCAGACAAATGGGGGTTAGTACCTCTAATCAGGCTACGATCACTTCCTTCCACCAGCTTCCAGCACGCAGTAGCGTAGTTGGTTGACGCACTATGCTACAAGCCAGAAGATTGATGGTTTGAGTCCCAATGAGTTCGATTATTTCAATTTACTTAATCCTTCCAGCGACACTATGGCCCAGCCTCAGCCTCTAACAGAAATGAGTACCAGGAATCTTCCAGGGGGGTAAAGGGCGGCTGGCGTGTAAGGCTGACAACCTTATCACCATCTGTGAGCCGACTGTCTACACAAAATTTGGGAGCCTTGACGTCTCACAACCCTATTGGCCTTCACGGCCTGTAACCGGGATAGCTTTACCTTTACCTTAATATCCGATTATTTGTCACTACTTGATCTAAGCTATTGAAAGTACCGACAAGTGAACCAAGTTGTCTCATTATTATAAATCTATTGCAGTAAATCTTTATGAGATGCAGCTAAATTGTGGAGCTTCGTATGAGATATAACGAACGCATGTGCAAAAACTTGTGCATTTTAACCGTCTTAGGTTATGTAAATATTTTCCAAGATAATTCCACTTCATAAACCCAAGGCTTGACAAATATATAACCCACCTTCCTTTTAGCTGCCTTTTTTTGCTTGTGGGTAGGATCTAACTGAGTAATCATCCACCTCACGCTAAAAAACGTGACACCACTCAGAAGTGCAAGTCTAATTATCAAACCAATTAATTCTGAGCGTGAGAACGTTTGTGTGTCAACCATGATTTACATACAAGTTAATGTATCAGAGCTTGTATATTAGGTATATTAAAGCACTGCCACACAGACAACACTTCTACACATTAATAACCTATTGTTGGATATCCTTCCTCCACCTGCTGATATAGATTACCAAGCAACGGAAGTTCAGCTTTCTGTGATTGGTTCACACGTATGCGATTCGATAAGTTGCGACAAATGTATTTTGATTGGTTCAAACAAATGCGATTCGATACATTGCGATAGGTGTAGTGTGATTGGTTTCCGACTATCTAGTTTCCACACTATTTAATTTTCAGAGAATGCGTACAGATGGAAGTAGTTCTGCATGTTTTCCGACTTTATGGCAGGTAGCAGGAGAAGATATCGAGGAATTCAAAAAGATTTTTCAAGAAAGAATGAGAACCATCAAACTCGTTACAGACGGCTTAAAAATGGAGTACAAACCATTCGTAGGAGTCGCATCGATAGATATAATAGATGGTCGTAGCATGACATTTAGGATATAAGATAGCGTCCACATTCACGGCGGAAGCACTAGCAATTGCCGAAACACTAGAAATCATTGAAAATATAGACTCGGAGAGAAACTTCATGGTTTTCTCGGACTCGGCAGATGTGTTAAAAGGCATTAGTATCTACAATGAGCAGTACATCCCACATTACACACATGCCTAAAGATAAAACACTCTGGAATCACGAGGAAAAAAATTCCAGTTTTACTGGATCCTGGGGTCCTGCGGAGTTCAAGTTAATGAGAGGGCCGACTTCGAGGCAAAGTAAGCAATCAAAGAAGACAGAGATGGTCAATTACTATTACAAGTTGCAGATCTTAAAACGCAGTGGGAAAAGAAGCGCAAGGAAGAACTTCACAGTTTTTGTCAAAACACCAAACAGGACAGGAGGAAGCTTCTTCAAAGGTACTATAAGAATGGTTGGTCTCTTGTGTTTCCGCGAGATAAAAATGACCCGCCATGCCTTCATGTCAGACCGTATGAGAGCAGGCCACACCAGTCTTAAAGCAAGCTTAAACAGATTTAATTAACATTGTGTCCACAGCCGAATGCGAATGTGGTCATGGGCTGCAAACGGAGGAACATATCTTTTGGGACTGTAAACGGTACGAGGACCAAAGGGCAATAATGATGGACATTCTGTCTGAGAATAGCAAAAAAGAATACCCAGAGTCAACTATAGAGCTCTTAAGGCTAGAAGGAAAAAGATTTCTCCAAGGCGTCTGTTACTTCATAAACAACATTCCTATATCAAATAGATATGTAAGAAATATAAAGGTAATTGTACTGATTATTAACAATATACTCTCAGATTAATTTTTTTATTGCTAGTGGGGTGGGACTAAGCCACTTGTACTGCAGCCACTTCTGGCCTATTGTACAAGCCCCAGATGATAGGTGAGGGTGATTGTGGAGCAATTGGTGGAATGAAGATTTGCAGGGGAAACTGAAGTACTCTGAGAAAACCTGCCCCAGCACCACTTTGTCCACCCCAAATCCCACTTGACCAGACCTGGGATCGAACCCGGGCCGCCGCGGTGGGAAGCCAGCAACTAACTGCTTGAGCTATGGCGCAGCCTACTCTCAGATTTAAGTTAAGATCTATATTAAGACTTGCAGGGCGACTGCTATTATAGAATGAGATATTTATAAGAATGTGCTACAGAAGGCTGGATGGGCATTGCCTAGTCCTATAGTCCTTTTTCGTATTTACAATAATTTTTTCTACAATAAAAATTTTTCCCATGGCAGATTCACTCCTGTTAGAGAGAAACTCTTATAAAAACAATGCTGTTATTTACCCAAGAAGTTCGGTCACACAAAAGCACAGAGGCGGTTTCATGTCTATTTTCAAATGCGATGGGAGCCTTCATTCAAAACAATTCAGAGACTTTATAACCAGTTTAATAATAGTGGTTCAGTGTTGGAGAGGAAACGTTGCCGGCCTTCAAATGTGTGTTCTCTGGAGAACAATGACACTGTTGGAGTGGTTTTTCAAAGAAGTCCCAGTAAATCAACAAGGAAGGCTTCAGCACAATTAGGGATATCCAGACGATCAGAGTAGCGAATATTGAAAAGTGATTTGAAATTGTATCCCTACAAAATGGCAGTGTAGCTTAACTTGACAGTTTGAAACAGTCATCAAAGAATGACATTTTCAGGATGGAGTTCAGTCTCAATGGCTTCCCTAATGATGCGATCCATATAGCGGGTCATGGTGGCGAGGATGGAGGTTTTCTGAAGCTGAATACCTCCATCCTCGCCACCAAGATCCGCTATATGGATCGCATTATTAGGGAAGCCATTGAGATTGAACTCCATCCCAAAAATGTGATCAGAGATGGGGGGTTTTGTCTCAGCAAGTCATGGAAGCCTCTCATCTGTTCTCTTAAAAAACCCCCCTGGGATATGACGTCAGATCCAGAAGGCTACACAGGCCATGACCGACTAACATAACCCCCACCCCCCCAGCTTAAGGGTTAGTGCCCATCCTTTAACCTTGCCTTTCTCTCCCCCAACACAAAACCCTGCTTTTGTCCCAGCTCCTTTCCCTCCCCCTCCCACTCCACTGATTTCACATGTAGACTTGCCCTTCCCCCCTTCCTTCATTGCTCTCACATAGCTGTGTATATTTCCAACACCAGTCTGCTTGTACCGGTTCTCATGGTCTCTTCACCTGAGGATTTCTTATATTTTTCCTTCTACCCTGAAGATGGAGGCGATACGTTCCTCCGAAATGTCGGTTAACACCACATGTACACGGTGCCAAATCCCAGAAGACTGCTTTCTTCATAGTCACCGCCGTGAAAACCTCAAATCTTACATCCCTTTGGACTGTTCAAAGATGCTTTATGAGGTCGATTTTCTACAGACATAGAAGTGCGGAAACCGGTAAATAAATGGTTGCGCGACCAATCGGAAACCTTCTTCTTAGAGGGAATATGCAAGCTTGTGGACCACTGGATCAAGTGCATCAAAAAGGAAGGAGACTATGTAGAAAAATTATGTACTTGTTCAACCCCTACTTTTGTGTATATAAATTGAAAAAACAAGAGTGCGGATAATTCTTGATTTCCCTACGTACATATACACCTAAGAGTTAGTTGCCTGCTTTTTGCTTTCAACTTTGAATACCACACTTCACTATAATCACTGTGAAATCAAACAGTGTTTCCAACATTATTTTATAAATTCAAATGCATAGGATCATATTGAAGTTAAATCAAGTGGCAAAGGTCTGATAAGAAGAAAAAAAACCTAAAAGAGATATTTATAAAGTGTGCATTTAATGAATTATTGGTACTGTGTTTAGGTTCCTTCCATTTGATTAAGAGAACCTCCAAATATTTTATCACAGATGATTAATTTTTGTAACACTGAGTTTGGGTGTCAGTGTAGTGACAAGTTATGGAGCTAAGTTTGATTCCTGGCAGGGGCAAGAGATTTTTCTCTTCTCCAGTGCCCAGACTGTTTCTGAGCCTATCCAGCCTCCTATCTAATGGGTACTAGGGCTCTTTGCCTGCAGGTAAAGCGGCCAGGGCGTGAATCAGACCACTAACCTCCATCTAGTGCCGAAGTCATGAATGGTGGAGCTCTAATTCTATTTCTTCATAGCGTGGTAATTAAGTGCAGGGACTTTACTTAAAACACAGCAGACAGGAGAAGTTTGCCTATGACAGTTTCTGTCTCTCATCAGTCCACTCTTTTGATACAGATTCTCTACCCTCTTGTAAAATAGCTCTCTTTCTCTCTCCTGTGACCAGTTTTAACACCATGTTGGACGACAGATAGTACATTAACAGATCTGCTATTAAAATAACATGTACACTCTGGTTTCACTTAGATCACCTTCATACTTTGCAGGTAGGCATATGGATAAGTACATATATTAGAATGAATGAAGTTGAATTACTTAAATACTTCACATGGACCAAAGAAAACAGTGTAACATATTGTCCTTGAATCATCAGTGAAAGGGAACAAAAGGATAATTATTCATNTAATATTTATTTATATGAGAGGCATTAAATATGCATTACTTGCTGCAGGAAGGTCTGTTGAAGTATACTAGCATTAGGAGTAAAAATTACAGACATTATGGAATAAGAGATATGCAGTCACAGAATGTAATAATATGGAACAAATGCTGATTAGTCTGAGTGAATCAATATTATGTGAAAGTTATTACAACGAAATAAGGAGAAAACAAGCATAACTTAATGATATAAATGAAACTGAATGAACAGAATGATGCTTCATATGACAGGCAATCAGTGTGCCTCTCAGAAGATAGAAAGAGGTTAGTCAGTGTTTTGCTGAAGAACACACATTCATGAAATACAAACTACAGCATAAAGGATGAAATATTATAGTACTAACGTCATCTCATTGGCAGGCCTTATTGTATTCATCTTTCAGCCACACAGCTGTAGTCACTGCTTAGACAGGTGTGATATTCCGTCTATTTAATATGTAGAGTGGGCTATGCAGCAAGTTTACCTAGAAAATGCAGAATTTTTGCAGCTTTCCCTAAAGATTCATAATCTTGGATCTGCGAGTTGATTAATCTGGGCTGGTTATTCAATATTCACTAAATTAAAGGGGAATGGTGTGTTCTTTGTTCGCAAGTTGTTCATGAATTAGCTGGTGTTTCTGGATAACTTTTCATTTTGTGAGGCTAAATAATGGGAAATCCATCACACTTTAAACATTATTATCTAGTTTAGTTCTAGAATTTTTCTTGGAGATAACTTTAATCTACACTTGACAAGCTATAGTGAAAGTTTCATTAAACCCTGAAGGAATTTGTTTAAATTTATATGTGTGTCTAAAAATATGGCATAGAATGGGCCTCTTATGTCACATTCCAACATAAATTGTTGTTAATGGTTAAGAAGTTGAAAGATGGGATTGATATGTTACAGTCCATAAGGAATTATTTTTATGTATGTATAAAGAATATCTGAATGAAGAAGAATTGTCAGTTTGCTGTTCTGTATACAGAAGAACTAGAGCTTCCTAATACTCATTATGTTAGATATGAGGTCTCACAGTGATGACTATAGTAAAAGGTAAAAAAAAAAATAAATAAATAATAACAATAATAAAAAATAAAAGGTAAACCTATCCCTGTAACATGCTGT